GAAGGTTCAGAATTGAGACGAGCAGAGGATATCGGCGGTGGTTGTCGAGGAGCCGCTCCTCCTGCAGCCAGATTCTTGCCCCGTTCCATCACATGTCTTAAGTCGTCCAACTCTTGATATATCTGAGCCTGTGTGCTCTCAGTCTTTTCCTGATTCTGTCGCAATGTGTTTTCCACCTTCTCTTGACTTCGCTTCAAACAGCTCATCTCCATCGCCATGAGTCCCGCTTGTAAGTCGTTTGGAGATTCGTCAACTTTCTGTTTCCCTTTCTGTTGTTCGTTGGGTGAGCTCTGAGTCACCTTGTCGTTGGACCTCTTTCGTCCATCTTCTTCCAACGCCCTGATATGTGCCTCCATCTTATTGTGATCGCCTGCTCTGATCTTCTCCAATTTTGCCCATATCTTCTTATTATCCTCACTTATCTTCGTCAGTAGCTCTATCTCCGTGTTCGAGCTCTGACCCTTGTTGCAGATAGTCGAATCAATAATCTCCCTCATCCTCTGATCTTTCTCCACCGCCTTCCTTTCCTTTTCTAATTTATTCTGATTTTCATCCTCTCGCTGGTGTTTTTCCTATTCCTCCTTCGCCTTCTACTCCGCTTCCTGTTTTCTCCTTTCCTTCTGTTCGTGTTTCTCGCTAACGAGCTTCTGTAGTAGTGCCGCCACCTCAGGATCTTTTTTCACCACCACTTCCCGAGCTTGATTACCCCTCCAGTAGTTGCGATTACCACCAGCGGCAGGATTGTTGATGTTCGTAATCGTAGAAGCACCGGAGTCTGCAGGTAGACGAGGCGCTGAAGGAGGCGGTCTGACCGTGTTAGGTGCGGGAAGAAGGGGAGGGTGGGTGGAGGTGGAAAAGGGAAGTGCCTGATTGGCGCGCACTTGCGCCACGACCGGACAATCGCGTACCCAATGGCTAAGATCGCCACAGGCCAAACATGGTCTCGGCCCATTGTTGTTCCCCACATATCCAACCATTCGCAACAGTTGGCTCCTCAAAAACAAAAAATAGACAATCGCTACAATCCCTATTACTACAATCATCCGACAACGTTAAGATAGTCGAGTTTAACTCTCGATCAGTTAGTGCGACCAATAAAAACGAGTGCTCTACCTTGGCTCTTCGCCACGTCGTCCAACTTACACTTATGATCACCCACCAATCAGAATCAAAACTAAGTTGGTTAGCGACCTATCACATGTTGAGAAAGGATACAACCAGAGTGGTTGAACCGACCAACGGTATAAACATCATGAATGACTGAGAGTAGAGGTAAGGAAGAACGATTCTTAAGCATCTGTGTCACACACACCAAATAGGAGAAGAACACACGTACGCAGAAGTATCGTCAAGGTACACCGAAAAATTTGTTAACGTGAAACACAATAAAGTAGCCGAACGTAGTGTCGTCTACTCCCTGCTGGAAGCTCCCTACATGTTTCGGCCGATGCCAGTCAGTCGGCCATCTTCAGGGGAGTTAACCTTGACAGAGATGCGTACGAGTGTCATCGAATCAACTATATGTACTATCCTGTATCCTCGTACGTCGTGGTTCCAACGACGTCCCCTGTCCCACCATGACAGGTACCGTCCGTAAGTCGTCCGAAAAAACATCCTAACTGTATCTACCTTGTTTACCACCGAAGGTTCATAAAATGAATAACAGGAGGCAGTGGTACCTAGTGTCTGAGAGAGAAAACATGGTTTCCATAAGTATCCTGTCGGTCGAAAGAGACGAGAAAAAGGAGTAACAAACAGACTAGTGGGAGACATCTACTTGGGACGGACGGAATATCGAATCGGTTTCAAGAGAAGATAGCGTATCGGATTCAAGAAGAGCCCTGGACCGGAACCAAAGTGTCATGGCAAGATAGTCATGGTTTCGAGTCTCTTTGAAGAATGGAGGAGGGAAGAGAAAAGGGAGGGAGTCGTGGGTTCGGGTTCACTAAAAGAATTTCGGAGAGGTGGAAAAGAGCGGGGTTCACGGTGTGAGGAAACCCGGGGAGGGGCGCCTACCGTTCGCCGAAGCCAAGGGCAACGGCGTCTGTCACCTGCCGCGCCCGATTTCGAGGTCCTCGACGACCAGCAGGAATCGAAACTTGCGGCGCCCTGTCACGCTTCCAATTTTCTTTTTCTTTCTTTGTGCAATTTAGCAACTTCACACAGCAAGGGGGTTCAACAGACAACTGGTAATACCACAAGTTCATACAACCGTAAGTTTCAACAGCCAATTGGTTCAACAGCTAATCAACAATTCAGCGAGCTCACGCAACAGTGAGTTTCGACAGTCAACTGGCAAATGAGCTACGGACACAGCAGCGAGTTTCCGGAGTCAACCTTGGATGTGCCCCCCCCGGTTCTCTTTCTCTCTCTCTCTCTGTTCTCTCTCTCTCTCTCTCTCTCTCTCTCTCTCTCTCTCTCTCTCTCTCTCTCTCTCTCTCTCTCTCTCTCTCTCTGTGTGTGTGTGTGTGTCGCTGTTCTCTCTCTCTCATCTGTCCCTGCACCATTGGTCTATTCCCCTCTGATGAAATACACCGCCTGCACTCATTCCCTCCGTTTCCCAAGGTTCACTCTCTCGCCTCCTTCGTTAGCTCGGTTTCTTCCTCCCGCTGTAGACAGGTTCAACCCGCCATTCTCCACAAACAGTTGATTGAGATAGAAATTACAACAGTGAAAAAAAGGTAAAAGGGCGCACTCAAGCGCGCCAGCCCGCTCTCTTTGATTGAGCGAGTGTCATGCAGGTACTGACCCACGCTTAACCCCAAGTCCTTACCCCTTACCTCTTCTTCTGTCCGATCAAGATCGCAATAGTAGAAATGACAGTGGAAAGGCTTGCTGGCGCTCGGTAGAGTAAAGTAACTTGTCCCTTCAGCAGAGGTATGTTCGATTCCCCGATCATCGGAAGTAGATAACTGGGCCCCACGAGACGAGGGAGGGCTCGATTTGCAGATCAGCTAGCGTGAAACAACTGCCCCCCATCAGCGGGAAGGGTCTATTGCCCAGTCAGCAAAGGTACGATAATTAACCCGCCAACAGAGGGAATGCTTGCCAAATCACTAAAAGTGTGACAATTGGCCAGCCAGCAGCGGGATCGCCAGTCCCGTGATTCTTTGGGGAGCACAGTTCCCGCTAGCTGCGGGACCAACTGATTGTTTGTATTGAAGAGTTTCGTTCCCGCTGGCTGCGGGATCAACTGGWTTGGCMGCACTGATGAGCATCTCCGCTAGCAGCGGGGTTGGCAGATAGGTAAATCACTGTTGAGCACCGTTCCCGCTGGCTGCGGGATCAACTTGATTGGCCACACTAATGAGCATCCCCGCTAGCAGCGGAATTGGCAGATTGGTAAATCACTGTCGAGAACCGTCCCCGCAGGCTGCGGGTTCAACTTAATTGGTCGCATTGATGAGCACCCCCGCTAACAGCGGAATTGGCAGATTGGTAAATCACTGTTGAGCACCGTCCCCGCAGGCTGCGGGATCAACTT